ACCACGGTCTGCTGTGGCCATGTCGGTCTTGGGAGGCTCAGCCACCAGCCTCTGGATCTGGGCCAGCGTGCTACTGGCCTCCTCCATCTCCCTCCAGATGAGAAACACATCCTCTCTGACCCCAGCTCCTGGAAGAGAAACGCGTGTGAGCAGGCATCTGTGGAAGGCCCCAGAACCATCTGGTGCTCCTAGCAGGCCTGGCACACCCTGGCCAAGTTTCCAGAACATTTCTGAACATCTGATTCCACTTTCCCCACTAATATCTTTCTGAGATTCAGAGGTGAAATCCCTAAGAAAATGCTGTCATCTCAAGAAATCCACAAGACTTTAGGATGCAATAAATCCTCATAAAGTAAATATTTCTAAGGAGGCAGGATATTTTAAGATGAATTATTGATAATCCTCCCAAATAAGATAAAGGATAAAAATATTCAAAAGCACCTAATAAAAGCCAAGGTGACCACGGTGGGGAAGGGAAACTCAGTGGAATAGTAAAGTAACACCCCTTCACCTTTCCTGACTTAGCTGAGATTTCCTGCTTCTTTGAAACCACCTTCACAACTCTCCTTTTCCGTAATGTAATGACAATTCTTCAGTCTCTTTTTCTGGACCTCTGTTGTGTCAGTTAAGGGTTAGGTTTGGCTGTGTGACTTTTTTTTAATGATATTGAGGTGGGAAGCCCCATGAAACAGACCGGCAGGACCCCCAGGCAGAGCCACTACTTTCCTGCCAGCGCCATCCGGTTCCCTGGCCCAGCAGCATTATCTTGATTTTTGCCTCTATAAAACGGCTTACTTCTAAGAAAGTGGAACTTACCCCTAAGATTCTATTGGTTCTCTGAGCTCACTCCTGATCGGTCCAATTGTAACAACTCATTTGCATAAATTTCACACCTGATTGGTCCATTTCTATCACTCCTGATTGGTCCATTTCTAAAAAGCTCACTCCTGATTAGTCAACTTTATTACACCTTATTTGCGTATGACGTTGCAAAGTCTAGACTGGCAGCCTATAGAAGCCTGTGTAAACCTACAAATGGAGTCCAGAGCTTGGAGTGTTAACTCCTCTGGGCCCGCCCATGTAATAAACCTAAGTTCTCCAACTCTCCAAGTGCTGCTTGGTCTCTTGTCAGGATCCAGGTTGCGGTCACAACTGAGCTGTAACACTGAGCTGTATCACACTTTGCTGCAACAATATGTCATAATTAATATAGATACTTATATCATTCTAGCAATCAATCAATCAGTCAATCAAAGTTCATGCCATGGAAAAGAGGTCCAAGGCTGGGATAGAGGCTCTTCCTCCACCAAGACCCTGCCTCTAACAGATCAGCAGTCTCCAGATGTTAAGGAGGGTGGAGGAGCAGGAGGGAGAGAAGTGTGACTATAAAAGTGCAACACAGGGAACCTGCAGTTGTATCTTGACAGCATCAGTATCAATATCCTTCTTGTGACATCGGCCTGTAGTTTGTAACATGTTGCTATGGGGGAAACTCAGTAAAGAGCACGTGGGCATCTCT